TACTCTCCGTTAGAGAACTTTGCTAGAGTCTCAGCTACTCAGGAGGCTGAGGTAGAAGGATAGCTTGAGCCCAGGAGTTTGAGGTTGCTCTAAGCTATGATGACACCATTGCATTCTAGCCTGGGCAACAGAGCAAGTCTCTGTCTCAAAAAAATTAGTTAATTAAAATTAAGTTTAATTAAAAATTTGGGGATGTTTAGATATCAATAAAGAAGAATGTTCTGAAATTAGATAGTGATCACTACACAACACTGTGAATATACTAAAAGCTACTGAATCGTACACTTTTATTTTTTATTATATTTTAAATTTTATTCCTTTCTTTTTTTTCTACACCTAGCATTTTTTAGAAGACACATGAATCATATACTTTTAAAAGGTGAATTTTATGATATGTAAATTATATTTCCGTTTTTAAAAAGAAAAGAAGAAAGATCATGGACCAAAAGTTTAAGCTTCCTTAAACTAAAAACAAAAGAGTAAACAAAATCCAAAGCAAACATAAGGAAGAAAATAATAAAGGTAAAAACAGAGTTTAATAAAATTATAAGCAAAAAGGCAATTGAGAAAAATCAACAAAAACAAAACCTGATTATTTGAAAAGATCAATATTGGCCAGGCACAGGGGCTCATGCCTGTAATCCTAGCACTCTGTGAGGCTGAGGCTGGTGGATCATTTGAGCTCAGGAGTTCGAGACCAGCCTGAGCAAGAGCAAGACCCTGTCTCTACTAAAAATAGAAAGAAATTAACTGGACAACTAAAAATATATATATAAAAAAATTAGCCAGTGGCACATGCCTGTAGTCCCAACTACTTGGGAGGCTAAGGCAGAAGAATTGCTTGAGCCCAGGATTTTGAGGTTGCTCTGACCTAGGCTGACACTATGGCACTGTAGCCCAGGCAACAGAGTAAGACTATGTCTCAAAAAAAAAAAAAAAAAAAAAAAAATCAATATTGACAAACCTCTAGCCAGACTAAGAAAAAAAAAAAATACCCACAATTTTAAAAGGTACATTCATGAATGAAATAAAGTCTGTAGGGCAGACCCTACAGATGTTAAAAGGATAATGAGTGCTAGGCACAGTGGTACACACCTATAGTTCCAGCTACTTGGGAGACTTAGGTGGGTAATTGCTTGAGCCCAGGAGTTTGAAGCCAACCTGCGCAATATAGTGAGACTGTGTCTCAAAAGAAAAAAAAAAAGAAGGATAATGAGGAAATATTATGAACAACCACATGCCTATTGCTGATTAACAAATTACCATAAATATAATGGCTTAAAACAACACATTTATTATCTCATACTTTCTGTGGGTCAAGAGTTCATGCATTCCATCAATCCAAGAATGGATTAATAAAATGTGGTATATGTATACCATGGAGTACTATTCAGCTCTAAGAAACAATGGTGATATAGCACATCTTATATTTTTCTGGTTAGAGCTGGAACCCATACTACTAAGTGAAGTTTCCCAAGAATGGAAAAACAAGCACCACATATACTCACCAGCAAACTGGTGATTAACTGAGTAGCACTACAGTGGACACATAGGTACTACAGTAATAGGTATTGGGCATGTGGAGGGGGAGGGGGCGGTATATACATACATAATGAGTGAGATGTGCACCATCTGGGGATGGTCATTGCTGGAGACTCAGACTTTGTGGGGAGGGGGAAATAGGCATCTATTGAAACCTTAAAATCTGTACCCCCATAATATGCGGAAAAAAAAAAAGAGTTCATGCATAGTTTAGCAGGGTGCTATGTCTAGGGTGTCATAAGGCTGCAATTAAGGTGTTGGCTGGGGTGTATTCTCATATGGAGATTTGACTAGTGTGGTAGGCAGAATAATGGTCCCTCAGAAATGCTAGTGTCCTCATCCCCAGGAGTTGTGAATATTGTCTTACATGGCAAGAGGGACTTTGCAGATATGATTCAGTAAAGCATCTTAAAATTATATTATCTTTGTACAGTAGTCTTTAATCACAATGTCTTAGAAAAGAAAAGAGAGATTAGAGAAAGAGATATGACAATGGAAGAAATCAGAGAGATACAATGTGAGAGCAATTCCATCCAGCCATTGCTGCCTTTGAAGATAGAAAAAGCGGCCACAGCCAAAGAATACAAGTGGCCTCTAGAAGCTGGAAAAGGCAAGGAATGGATTCTTCCTGGAGCCTCCAGAAAGAATACAGGCCTGCTGACCACCTGATTTTATCCCCCAAAAGATTCATTTTGGGGTCTTTTGACCTCTTTTGACCTATAGCATTGTGAGATAATATATTTGTGTTATTTTGTGGTAATTTTTTACAGCAGCAATAGGAAACTAATATGACTAAGGAAGACTCCACTTCCAAGCTCACTCAGAGTGCTGGTAACATCAATTTCCTTGAGGCTATGAAACTGAAGGCCCTGGATTCTTGCTGGCTGTTGGCTAGAGGCCACCCTCAGCACCTGGAGGCTCCCGTGACATGATAAAGAGCTTGTACAAAAGATCTATAGCCAACATCAAATATAATGTTGAAAAACTAAGATTCCGCTAAGATTCCCCTATGATTGATTGGATGTCTGCTTTCACCACTCCTATTCAACATCATGCTAGAAATCCTAGCCAGCACAATGATGAAAGAAAAAGAAATTAAAGCTTAGAGATTGGCGAGTAATAATTAAAACTGTCTCTGTTCACAGATAACATGATTGCCTACATGAAAAATCCCAAAGAATCTACAAAAAATACCTCCTACAACTAATATTCAAGTTTAGCAAGGTCACAGGATACAAGGGCAATACAAAAATCAATTGTATATCTCTATACAAGCAATGAAAATTTGGAAGTTGAAACTATAAAAACTACATAAACTATGTGCAGGATCTATACACAGAAAACTACTAAACACCAGTAAAAGAAATCAGAGATGACCTAAATAAATGGAGAGATAAATCATGTTCATGGATTATAAGAGTCAATGACTCTTATGACAGTTTTCCCCAAACTAATCTAAAGATTTAATGCAATTCCAATTAAAATGCCAACAGGATTTTTTGTCCCAATCAACAAACTCATTCTAAAATTTATATGGAAAAGCAAAGGAACTGGAATACTCAAAACCATTTTGAAAAAGAACAAAGATGGAGGACTCACACTACCTGATTTTAAGAGAAACTGAAAAGCTACGCTAATGAAGACAACAATGTAGTATGGGCAAAAGGATAAAGACATAGATCAATAGAACAGAATAGAGAATCTAAAAATAGACCCATACAAAAGTTGCCAATTGATTTTTCTAACAGCTTATTGAGGTATAATTGATACACAGAGAATTGCATGTATTTAATACATACAATTTGATGAGTTTGGACATATGCAAACACTTGTGATAATAGCCAATTGATTTCCAGCAAAGGTGTAGAAGCAATTCAATGAAGAAAGTCTTTTCAACAAAGGGTGTTAGAATAATTGGACATCCGTATGCAAAACAATGAATATCGATTCATACCTTATACCTTGTGCAAAAAGTAATTAAAAATTGATGAAAGACCTAAGTGTAAACAATAAAATTATAAACTTATTTTCCTATCAAACATAAGGCAAAATCTTTTGTGATCTTGGCTTAGGCAAGGAGTTCTTAGATATGACACCAAGAGTACAACCCGTAAAAGACAAAATTGATAAATTGGACTTCATCAAATTAAAAATATTGCTCTGCAAAAGACATTGTCAAGAGAATGAAAAGACAAGCTACAGGTTGGAAGAAAATTTTTGTAAAGCCATAACTGAAAAAGGAATTATATCTAGAATAGATAAAAATATCAAAAACTCAATGATAAGAAGACAAGAAACCCAATTTTTAAAAATGGGCAAAAGATTTAAACAGACACTTCACAAAAAGTAATGGCAAATAAGCACAGGAAAAGAAGTTCAGCATTATTAGTCACTATAAAAATCCAGTTATAAAGGGTACAAAATTATAGTTAGATAGGAGAAATAAGTCCTAGTGTTCTATACCACTGTAGGATGACTATAGTTAACAATATATTATATAGTTTCAAATAGCTAGAAGGAGGATATTGAATGTTCCCAACACAAAGATATTATAAATGTTTGAGATTTGGGATATGCTAATTACCCTGATCTGATCACTATACATGATATGTATCAAAATATATTTAATTATGGTGTCAATTTTAAATTATAAAATAAAAGATTTTTTAAAAATTTAGTGAGATCTCAATACTTATTTATTTGGATTATGTATGGCTCAAAACAAAACAAAAAATTGATAATAACAAGTGTTGGAGAGGAATATGGAGCAAGTGGAGTGCTCGTACATTGCTGACAGGAATGCAAAATGATACACCCACTTTGGAAAACACGTTCTGAGTTCCTAGTAAAGTCAAGCATATACTTACCATACCACAAGGACTCATACTCACCAAGTGAAATAAAATATTATCTCACAAAAACCTGTATGTAAATATTTCTAGTGACTTTATTCATAAGTGCCAAAAACTGAAAACAGCCCTCAGCTGGTGAATGGATAAACTGTGGCTCACCCATACAGTGGAATACTGCCCTCCATTAAAATGAAATCAATTACTGATTCAAACCACATAGATGAATCTCAAATGTATTATGATAAATGAAAGATGCCAGAAACAAAAGGCTACATGCTGTATTATTCAATTTGCCTTCTGGAAAAGGTAAAACAATAGGAAGAGAAAGCGATTTAGTGGTTGCCAAGAGTTGTGGATGGGGGAGCAGTGGGATACAAAAAAAAAAAAAAAAACAGACGAAAGAATTTGGGAGGTAATGGAACTATTCTGCATGTTTATTTTGGTGGTGGTTACATGTGTAAACACATTTGTCAAAGTTCATAGAACTGTACACCGAAACAGTAGATTTTATTGCATATAAATTTTTAAAAGTGAATTTAAAAAGTAGAAGAGGGAATTTCCCATGTAGAATTCCAAATAATTTATGTAGATACTCCATCCTCAAAGGGGTGGAGTCTCACTCCTCTATTCCTTAAGTGTGAGCTTCCCATGGAGACTTCCTTCCAAAGAGTCCAGTATGTAAAAGAAGGAGAGGAGAGAGGGAAGAATAACTTTACAATGGAGAAAGCGAACAAGCAAGCACTACCTCAGCCAGGTAATCAATATTACGTTGGTAATATGTACTCTTGATATGATGTGGTGAAAATGATCCTTAACCCCAGTGGTCTATCTCCTAAAACTTCACAACCCCAGCGAATCATGAGAAAAATATCAAATAAATCCCAAGAGGGGTATTTCACAAAATACCTGACCACCAGTCATGTAAACTGCCAAGGTCATCAAAAACAAAGTCTGACACATAGGTACTACAGTAATAGGGTATTGGGCAGGTGGGAGGGGGGAGGGGGCGTGTATATACATACATAATGAGTGAGATGTGCACCATCTGGGGGATGGTCATGATGGAGACTCAGACTTTTGGGGGAGGGGGGAAATGGGCATTTCTTGAAACCTTAAAATCTGTACCCCCATAATATGCCGAAAAAAAAAAAAAAAAAAAACAAAGTCTGAGAAACGGTCACAGCCAAAAGGAGCCTAGAGTATGACAATTAAATGTAATGCAGTATCCTGCATGAGGTCCTAGAACTGAAAAAGGACATTAGGAAAACATAAGGAAATCTAAGTAAAGGCTGGGCGCGGTGGCTCACGCCTGTAATCCTAGCACTCTGGGAGGCCGAGGCGGGCAGATTGCTTGAGGTCAGGAGTTCAAAACCAGTCTGAGCAAGAACGAGATCCCTGTCTCTACTACAAATAGAAAGAAATTAATTGGCCAACTAATATATATAGAAAAAATTAGCCGGGCATGGTGGCTCATGCCTGTAGTCCCAGCTACTCGGGAGGCTGAGGCAGAAGAATCACTTGAGCCCAGGAGTTTGAGGTTGCTGTGAGCTAGGCTGACACCACAGCACTCACTCTAGCCTGGGCAACAAAGCGAGACTCTATCTCAAAAAAAAAAAAAAAAAGAAAGAAAGAAATCTAAGTAAAGTGTGGACCTCAGTTAATAATGAGATATCAATATTGGTGCATTAATTGTAACAAATGAACCCTACCAATGTAAAATGTTAATAATGTGAGAAACTGGGTATGGGGTTTATGGGAACTCTCTGTAGGATATTTGCAACTTTTCTGTAAAATCTAAACTGTTCTAAACAAAGTTTTTTAAGTGGGTCAGGGATTGGGCAATAGTTGGTATAGGACAGTGAGTCACTGGAGAAGTTCCTTAGGATAAGAGAGACTTGAACCTGTTTATAGACTGAAGAAAAAAAAAAGCCGACAAGAAAGAGGAAAAAGTTAGGGTTCGGCATGATGACAGATGAAGCAAAGGGAAAAGCAAAAGGAAACCGGATCAAAGGCACAGTTGGAGGAGCTGACAATCTGCATAAGGAGGCTTCCCTCATCCTCTAAGACTTTAGGAAAGGAGGGAAGGATAAATGGATATAGATAAATTCTTCACTTCTTAGGATAAATAAATATTTCCAAATGGAAAACCCTGAACTCTTTACAAAACCTTTCATTCCTTGATTTTTACCATGGCAGTCTCATATTCAGGATTTTCATATGCCAGTCCTCATAACAAAGAAGCCCAGGGTCTGTGTTTACTTGGCAGAACAGGTATTAAGGATTGTTGCAGTGAAGATACAGCTCTGATTAGATGTTGACACCATTTTGGCTGTTTGTCACACCAGGAGATTCCAATTAGTGCCAGACTCTTCATCTGTACAGTTTGGACCCTATTTCATCCCTAAGTAGAAAGCTATTAAGATCCTGTTGGTTGTAAGCAATGGAAACCCCACAGGCTGACTGAAACATAAAAAGGGATGGAAGGAAAAGAAGAACCAATATTCAGGGAAGAGCAGGGACCTATCCATCTCTGGGGTCAGGAGAGCAGCAGTGGATGGGTCTTTCTTCAGGACACACTCTCACTAATTTAGGTCCAGCAATTCCCAGGCTCTGTGTTGCTCTGTGTTTTGAGTTCCTGAGAATGACTATAATTGTACCAAATTTAGTTAGGTGTCTACCTCTGGATCAACTGGCAGCAGCCAAGGGGCAAATAGCCTAAATCTGACAAGGCTACTGTGGCTTTGATCCTGTGCACTGGAGCCATTTACAGTAAAGGGGAATTTTGTGCTAGGCAGTTGCTCCAAGAGATGTGCATTGTGCACAAAAAGGTTGCACAGATTCTCTTCCACATGAGGTCATCATCAGGATATGAGAACAAAACAGGGCTCAGTGGTGTTCTGATTTTTCCCCACACAGCCTCAATATCCCAACATGTTTTTGTCTAAGGCCTACAAGAAATTACCCTCATTTTCATGTTTATATTTTTAAAATTTGTTTAAATTACTGACAAAAAAATCATACATACTCTCATTCTCATTCTGTCCTTTATCTAAAAGATTATACTTCTAAACACTTAGGATGGTCGTTAAAATGCTACTACCCTGTTCAAAAACTTACAGAGGCTCCCTATTAATTACTTACCATATTAAGATACCTAAGAATTTAGAGTTTCTTATCAAACTGTCCCTCTCTGCCTTTCCCAATTCCTTCGGTTTTTTTTTTTTTTTGGGGGGGGGGGAGAGTTGAGATGGTCTCACTCTATTGCTCAGGCTAGAGGGTAGTGGCATCACCATAGCTTACTGCAACCTCAAACTCCTGGGCTCAAGCAATCTTCCTGCCTCAGCCTCCCAAGTAGCTGGAACTACGGGGTCTCGCTATGTTGCTCGGGCTGGTCTCAAACATCTGACCTCAAGCAATCGTCCCACCTCAGCCTCCCAAAGTGTTGGGATTACAGGCGTGAACCACTGTGCCCAGCTCCCAACTCCTTTTTTATTAAACATTAGTTGAACATACAATGTTCTCTACTTTCTAGACATTCTCTACTTTTTAGACACTAACATGGATATGTCAATCTTACTGACAAGAACTTATGGGCATAATGGAACCAAATATCTGAACTGAGACCATCTCAGAATATTTGTGGTATACGTTTGCCATAACTAGAGAGTATCCAAAAAAAAAATGTTGAAAATATAGTCTCTACCTTGCAAAGACAGTTTGATAAAGTACAGGCTACTCTCTAGCAACCTTTTGGCCTTGTATAGAGTCCCAGCTGCCCCTAGACCTGCCTCATTGACTCCCACCTTGCTTTTTGCTATTTCTTGGACCTTGAAAATATTATGTTGTGCCTCATCATTCTATTCTGTGTCCCCAACTTGTGGAGATAAAGTAGACCACCTCCAAAAAGTTTGTCCTTTCTAACCTCTCCATACTCTGAACAATCTTTATAACATAGTAAAAGCTGTCTCTTCTGAACATGAGAAAAACAGCATGTAATAAGAAAATGAATTTGATAAATTTTGATAATTGTTTTTAATATTTTAATATCAACAATAAGTTAAGTGGTTATTATGCATTTTCCTTAACCCAAGCACTTCCCTTCATGAAGTAATCTGTCTCTCCCACCTTGGAATTCCATTGCATTTCATTCCTCTATTGTGCACAACTCATTTTCTCTTTTGTATTATGATTATGGTTCTCTGTCAACGCTTGTCTCCTCTGAGATTATAGCTCCTTGAGGGAAAGTACTGTGTCTTACTCTTAGTTGCACCCCTTCTAGTTCTCAGCACAATGTGTGGCATACTCTAGATGCACAATACACATTTTTTGAATGAAGGAAGGAATTAACCAGCAGAGACTTCTGTGGTGATATTATTATAGCCTCCTTTTCCATACGAGCCTGCCAAACAGCCTAGAAATAAAACACTTAATAAAAACAGTTCAGAGAGCCCTATCTGTGAAATTGTTGGTAGATGTAATTCTAAAGAAAGTCAAGGGATCCCCAGACTATACAGAAAGCTCAGACTGCTCTTTAGTGTTAGTTTCACAACAAGCAAAATAAGGATAGTGGCTCCTGAGAAATGGTACTAATTTTAGAACTCCCTATATTAATGGTTTGCAGCCCCTCCTTTCTCAGTGGCAGTCTAGTAAAATGGTTAGGAGGTTGGGGTCTGAAATCAGAACACCTGGATTTCAATCTCACCTCTGTCACTTAGTAGTTGTGTGACGTTAGCAAGTTGTTTAACCTCCTTGTGCCTCAGTTTCATCACTGGCAAAATGTTGAAACTAAGTACACTCTGTCAAAGGGATGGTATGAAAATTAATGACAATATATTTAAGGCAGCGGTCCCCAACTCTTTTGGCACCATTTTCACGGAAGGCAATTTTTCTGTGGACCAGGGAGGGGGAAGATGGTTTCGAGATGATTCAAGTGCATTACATTTATTGTGCACTTTATTTCTATTATTATTTCACTGTAATATATAATAAAATAATTACACAACTCACCAGAGGACCCCTGATTTAAGGTGTTTAGAATAGTACCTGGCACTTTGTGTTTTAAAATGATAGCAATATATAGTACTATACTTACTTTGTATTCCCTATTGGTAAATTTCATGTTAAGGGCAAAATGAGTCCCTTTTTCTATCCCCCCACCCCGCCCCCAGTTCCTAGCACGATGAGTAACAAATACGAGATGCTGAAAACATAATGTGACTTATATTTGAGATATATAAATTGAATGCACAACAAAATGAAGGCATGTTGAAAGGTTCTCAGTGTATCACTGCATATCTTCAGTTATTTCCTTATAACCAGTTGCTAGGTGATCTTTTCCGTGCCCTCTTCAAAGCATGCAGTTTGGTGTAATGCACATTACAGCCCTCAGAACTGCTGGCCTCCTGACAAGCTGGCTGTTTGGATAGTCTGAAGGATGAGATTGCTGCAGCAGAAAGTGGGTTATGACAGCACAGCTTTGCTGCTGGAGATGAAAGACCAATGATCCCAGAAAACAGTGCACAGGGCGGGTTGAGCCAACCAAGGACTTCGTGAAGACTCATTTGGACACTCTGGAGGCCAGTGGGGTACTACAAAGGTGAGTTCCCCACCTGAGCCAGGAGACCTGGGTGGATGACTTAGGTAGGGCCTGCGGGATGAGTCATTCTCCCTAGCCCGGGCACGTGCTGGTGGCAGCATCCATCGGGACCCCGCCTCCGTCCTGGCGCGGGCGGAAGCGAAGAGCAGCCGCGGGCCGCCTCCTCGGGCGGGCACTGACCTTGCCGCAGGCGGCCGGCTGGCGCAGTCCCGGAGCCGCAGTGCCGGGCGCTCGCGGGGGGCGCCCACCCGCGCCTGGGCTGACAGCGAGTCGGAGCCGGCCGCCGCGCTCCAGCGCTCCCACGGCGCCCCACGCCCGCGCGCCTGTCGCCGGCGGAGCCTCCAGGGCCGCGCCTCCGGGCGCAGGAGGGGGAGCGCGCCCACCGGCCGGCCGGGGCGCCTCGCGCGGCGCACACGCCGCAGCCGCGCGGGGCGGTGTGTGCTCGGCGCGCGGCGCCGCCGCCGCCTCAGCCTGCCGCTCCGCCCGCGCCGCCTGCTGCCGGCGCTCGGCCCAGCAGGCTGGCTCCTGAGCTGCCGAGGGCAGCGCGGGGCCGGTGGTGCAGAGTCCGCCTGCCCCGGACCCGCGTCCCGCACCCGGACGGTCCCGGTAAGCGGGGTCGGGGGCGGCGGGGACCGGGGCGGCACCCTAAAGGGGCGGGTCTGCGGGCTGCGGACAGTCCTGCGGGGACTCTGAGGTGCTTGTGTGGGAGCCGCCTCCAAGGTGGCCCCTGTGTCAGTGGATGAACCCCGAGGGACTGCTGCCTCTACCCGTTGGGAGAGTCCCTTAGGTGGTGTGGGGAGCTGCCCCCATGAAGACCCCCTGTGTGGATGGAGACTCCCAGGGCTCTCTCTGCATTTGCTGCCATGGGGACCCCCAGTGTGGAGGGCACCGTCCCCAGGGAAACATGTGTAACTACGGGAGCGAGTGCAAGGGTGGTGCCTAGAGTTGGCTCCATGGAACACAGGGGAGCCTCAGGAGCCTGCGCGGTGGTTATGGACCCTACAGAGGACCCCCTAGAAAAGGAGGATCTTAGACCGTGCCCTACAGCAGTCTGCAAGGAACCTCTGACAGAGGAGAGGGATCCTGCCATTCGACCCATGAGTGACTTCCCATAGCTGCAAGGACTTTTGCCTTGACCTCCCTGTGGGGCTCGATGTGCCCTCACCTGTCTCTCCCCAACATGGTGGAGAGGTGGGGGCCTTGTGGGACTGCGGCCTCTTTCCATTTCCCCTCCCCCACACTGGGATTTTTCTTTCCGTGGTAGCCCACTTGGCTCCAAGCTGGATTCCAGTGGAGGCAGAAACTGCTGTGAGAGCACAGGACTCAGGGAGGGATGAGGACCAGCGAGGCCTCTGAAGCAGAGAGAGGAGACTGAGCCCCTGGGCTTGACCGTCCAGAAGGAAGCAGTAAGATCAGGTGGAATAACTGACTTTGACAGGTCCTGGAGGGAACATCCTTTGAATGGAGGACTAAAGGATATATATGATTATTGAGCACCTATGTGCCAGGTGCTATACTAGATATGTTTAAACATATCATATAATCCTTACAACAGCCTTTGAAATTATCCCTTTTTAAATAATAGGTACTTGAGACTCAGAGAGGTTTAGCAATTTGCCGGAGATCACAATGCTTAGAATCATGAAATCTGTTTTTCAAATTTTATCTGGAAAAAAGTATTAAGGAGAGCCAGAATAAAGAATGGATATTTGTTAATAAGTTGCATTCAGGTGCCAAGTATAAGGCTTTGCAATGGTATATGCTCCGTAAATGTGATGATTAAACAAGCAGATGAGGACAGTTTAACTGGAGATGAGACTGCTGCAGGAACTGATCCCCAGACTTCAGGGTGTGGCTTCTTTCATTGGCAGCCCCACTGTAATGAAGCTTTGGGGTGGCTCTGGACCTAACTGGGTCTAGCAGATGTCTCTGGGTATGGTCTTTGATAGGACTTGCTCTGGGGCAGTAGAGGGGCCCTTCAGAGGATGGAGTGTTCTGAGGCTACCCTCCCTGCTGCAAAATCTATGAGAGGAAGGAGAGACAGGATCATTTTTAGGAAGCGTGATCCACACTGTCCTTGTGGTTCTCGGACTACATGAACCAGTGGACATTAGTCCCCAGATGCCACTCAGGACACTTTTGCCCAACAGTGCTTGTGCACAGGAGGAAGAGCTTGAGAAAGGTGCAGAGCCAAGGGGGGCTATGGGGAATCTGTTGGCTGGGTGTGCAAAGGTTATGCACCTGATGTAGTCATGCCCCCTCATCTCGTCCCCTTGATATTTTCATTCCAACTGAATCCAAAGGACTCAACTTTGGGACCAAGGATAAACTCTGGTTTCCTGTCCAAATATGTGGTGGTAAAAGGGCCAAGCAATGGAATTCACCACAGAGCCATTTTGGAAGTTTTCCTTTCTTCCACACAGCCAAACCTAGTGACATCCTCCTTGAGTACCAGTGGCTTCCTTGGGCTCCTGGGATTACATAGTGGGAAGAGAGACCAAGCTAGTGAGAAAACAGAACAAACTAGTCTACCAATTGTTATATATATTTTTTAAACTCAGTAATGACTGCCTGAATGATGGGTGTGGCACCTCACCCACAGCTCAATGGAGTAAACGCTAACAAAGATGATACTGGTTAGCACCTCCCTGTTAAAAAGTTCTTTATAATCCCCTTCAGTTCAAATCCCTTTCATAAGCATAACAGACCAAAATAAGCAGGGGTATATGTTTTTTAAAGAAAGTCAGAAAGACTAAACCTGTAAATACGATTTTTATTCCAATTTAGAGACTTGTCATTGAAATTTTATTCCTAAATTAGTCTTTTCACCAAGGGTGCTTAGTATCACACCCACTCATGACCCTGGAATATTTGCTACATGGATCCAGGTTCTCCCCAAATCTTGGACCTTGTATATCACCTCTTCCATATTCAACACTGGGTAAACATTAAGGTTTCAAAAATCTTAAGAATACTGCCTCACTCTTCCCAATCACAGCATGAGTCTGCAAATCAAATCATTCCAGAATGTGCATGAAAGATGTCACCAGGTGGCCTTAATCTTCTCAAAAATGCTTTCTCCAAAGGGAAATAAAAGGGATGAGAATGGCTCACCCAGCTTCATTTGAGTGTACACAAATGTGTCTGTCTGGATTTTACTGTCTAGGTTTCTCAACCTTTGATCTTCCACATAGTCTCTGACCATATTCCTATGGTTTTCTTCTGCCAACATTTGCCATATTTTTTTCTTTTTGAGATACGGTCTTGCTTTGTCATCCAGGCTGAAGTGCAGTGGTACCATCATAGCTCATTGCAGCCTCAAACTCCTGGGCTCAAGCAACCCTCCTGCCTTAGCCTCCAGGGTTGCTGGGACCATGCCTGGCTAATTTTTTTAAAATTATTTTTTGTAGAGACAGGATCTGACTATGTTGCCCAGGCTCATCTCAAATGCCTGGCCTCAAATGATCCTTGCACCTTGGTCTCCCAAAGTGCTGGGATTATAGGTGTAAGCCACTGTGCCGGCGTGCCACACTTTTTGACAGTATTCCCTTTGCCTCAAACATGGATAGTAAGACCTTCCAAGCCCATTTCCCACATTCCTTGCATTTTTTCCACTTTACCTGTTCCTAAGTGGATTATATTTATATAAATGGTTTCCCTTCTCTTTAGCTATAGCATCTATTATCTTTCAGTCCCAGATGCCTCTCTCTTGCAGTGCTGCTTGGTTTCTGCTATCTTCAATTCCCAAATTGATTTATTCATTTCTGATGGGAATATCATTATCCACTCCACCCCTCAATCTTAATGACCAAGTTCTGACAGGAATTGCTTACCAGCTTTGGACCCAGAAATCAAGAGCATCAGTGTCCTGCTGGAGACAAAATTGTTTTCTCCATTATCACATCCTCCTCCACTTTCCCTTGCTTCCAGCAATCCCCTCAGAGACCCACATACATTTACTAAGTGCTACTTACTTGCCAGCACTATGCTAGATAAATATGAAAGATCCTTGCCCTTGAGGAGTTCACATAGAACCAGTCCGCATTTCTCTAATCAGTTACTATGAAGGGTAGGAGAAGTAAGGGGGAAATTATAGCTTTACAGAGTCTCTACAGGAATTAATGTAGAGTATGCCTTTCCCCAGGCATCACTGACACTCAACTGCCATTCTATGCCTCCTCTGGCAGCCACATTTGGCCCTCCTGCCACTGCCCTGCAAAATTACTTTTGCCCATGTGCTTTGAGTGAACTGGCTGCACTCTTGCCTATGATAATAATGATATAACCTTATATTTGGAAAGCATGTTACAGTTTACAAAGCCTTTTTACATATATGATCTCTATTTAGTTTTGAGAACTCTTTTATCGTACTAGGGTCTTCTCACTAAAGCAGCATTATGTGGGCTAACGGGCTCATTCTTTTTGTTTGTTTTTTGAGGCTTATAGTCTCCCAGAGGGAAAGCCCCAATGATTCACTACAATCACCACCTACTGGCTCTTAGATTGTGGAAAAGATTCCCTGTTGGGTCCTAAGGCCAAGCAATGTACTCATTGGTCAGCCCTGGGACTTATGAGGGAGATCCTCCTTCCTGGCCTCAGCAAATCCAATTTTCTGGGGGCTTTTTCCCCCTGAAATTCAAATACATATTCCCTTCTAGCAAATATTTTAAGCATACTATCTCAAACCAGTTTTTTGAGCTGATGCTAATTCTTATGTGAAGGCAGGTTTCCTCGCCTATTTCTATCCAGCTCCCAGCCTGGCTTCATACCATCTAAGTCATGATGGAGTCCCCATATAGCTCCATGCCTTGGCATGTGCTTTTACCTCTTCCTGGAATGCCTTTTTTTCCCTTATCCACTGGGGTAACTCCCACTCATATTCAAAATTTAGCTCAAGCAACACCTTTTTTTTCAATCCTACACTTATGCCCCCTACACATGCACATACGGCATTCTCACAGGCTGAGTGAGGTTCCATTTGTTCATTCTACCAACAATTA